TTGCACACAAAACCTCCTTTATGTGGCTACTTATAACAGAAAGTTTTGTTATCCTTTCTTTCATTAGTTACGATAACTTACGCAATTAAATTTTGCGTTTATTATGAGACACCCGGTATATATATTGCTACTGATCAATCGGCCTAAGCTGTTTCAAAAAATTCCCGAAATTTATCCATGTAAGGATGTATCAACATTACTCAGAGTATCTGGGTCGAAATCTCAGTGTGACCCGATAGAAGTTTAATCAAGACGTCTTGGGAAAGGAGTTTGTGATGCCCCAAATTTCATGCTAGCAGTTGAAAGCCTGTTGGGACACAACTTGGTGTTCGAGGGTTACTTATTGGATTATCTTGACGCTTTCAGTGAGAAGTATGACGGAAACTATCAGAGTATTTTGATCTTGCTTAAAGATATCCGCCAAAAATGTGTTTTTACCACTGATCAGACAGACTTGGTAATCCAAATGCATTTCACTCGCCTGTGTTACCACAAGCTCATTTGTTTTAAAAAGGGATTTCCTCAAGAGTTTTTGTTTGACAACACAAGAGATGACTATTCCATTCCACTTTGGTTTTTCTGGCGCAATTTCCAGTGGAAATCGTTTCGAAACCCTGGGGGAAGAAAGGTGAAGCAATTCCGTTGATCGATCGGTCAAAAGGTACGATGTTGTCATATAAAGCCACTTAAAGAGTGAAAAGAATGTGTACGACCGGTTTGCGCTTTGTGCACGTTCAAAACGACCGCTAAGTGGTTCGTGTCTGTCAAGTTGTCACCATCTATTCACAACGGGGTCGAAAAAACAATGATTTCGACCTCAAAGCTGCGAGTCTGCGAACAGATGAATTTGGTTTTGTCCTCGGCGAATGCGTTCGCACCGCAAGTCATGATTGTTTATGTAGTGGGTGACGAAAACAGTAACCTTATCGATCGGTTTTTGTCAGTTTTCGTTGACACAAGAAGCGTTATTTATCCATACAAAACTACTTTATTTTACGGATTTTGCGGGGAGCGCTTATCAGCGAAGTCAAGAATACTTGGCCGTTAAGTACGACAAACTGAGTGGCTATCAAACAGCAAATTAAACTGTATCGATTAGGGCTTGTCTGTCTGAGTGGAACCATTTCTAGTGACAAGACGAACTAATCCCATCACACAAACAACCCTTTTTGGGCTAAAAAACGCTCTCAGACGAAGACCAGCTTTGTCCCGACGAAAATCAATATGATAACAACAAGTGGATCCACATCACGGGATTCTTTAGGCCCTTTTAGTGATTTCGGCTCTATAGCACCCGCATTACTCTGTACCTTGCACACACACACACACACAGGAGTGCGAAGAGGTGTATAGTGGACGTATAACCAGTAGGTCCACACATAATAACCAAGAAACAGAAATCTTTCGAGGACCACTTCCCTTGAACTTTCCCCTTGGCTTCATGAACCACGCTGTGAACGGTCCACTGAAAACGGTCCGAGTATTCGAATGCCTTGGTAACCAGTTTTGTGAGATACATCATGGCTAAAGTCAATCAGCCCAGCCGAACTGACATCGATTGAAAAGTTTGATTTCGGATTGCAAAAATACCAATTGTGTTCAGGTGCAAAAAAAGGGAAACGTCGCGTGATTCGACCTGAATGATCAACGGTGTGTCTGATACCTGATACGCGACACATTACAGTTTCAGGTGGTGCAAGAAAACTGATTAGCTGACTTTTTACTCCCTGATATCGATACCATTCTCATTTCCGAATAATGCAGGTAACCGAATGCAACAGCTCTAAACGGAATAAACACACGCGGAATCAGATTGCACTGGGTTTCGTAGGCCACATTCGTGATTTCGCTTGTACGCAGAATGAAGTTAGCTCCATAAAGGAAACTACTCACAAGGTTGCCGAAAACTATTCCACAGCCCACGACCGGTTTCGCCCTTCCAATTTGAGCTAATCAGGTAGGCGCAGTCTCCGAGTTTCCGTCAACCTTATGATCTACTTGAACCCAAACTGCACTGTTTTCGAGAAATACACTCAT